GCTGGGGGGGGAACTTTGGAGCAGGGGCTGTTGGGACAGGACAAGGGGGGATGGTTTGAAGCTCCAAGAGGGAGCTTGAGACTGGAGAGAAGGGAGACATGTTGGATGCTGAGGGGGGGTGAGCCCCTGGCCCAGGCTGCCCAGAGAGGTGGTCGCTGCCCCATCCCTGGCACCATCCCAGGGGAGGTTGGATGGAGCTCTGAGCACCCTGCTCTAGCTGGGGCTGTCCCTGCTCCCTGCAGGGGGGCTGGATGGGGTGACTTGGAAAGGTCCCTCCCCACCCCAAGCAGCCCGTGTTCCCCTGCCCCCCGGGTGACCGCTCGGTGTCTCCGCAGCGGGGACGGTGATGTTCGAGTACGGGATGCGCCTGGGCAGGGAGGTTCGGACGCTCCGAGGGCTCCAGAAACAGGGCAACTGTTTCCTGGCTGCCCTGAACTGCCTGCGCCTCATCCGCCCCGAGTACGCCTGGATAGTGCAGCCGGCTGCTGGAGCTGTGGTAGGCAACCCTGGGCTTCCTGGGAAGCTTCTGAGCTGAGCTGTTGCCTCTGGGGACACTTAACTTGCTCCACCTTGGGCTAGGAGCTTCCAAAATCCTTTCTGAGGGGATGGGCAGAGGTGTCTGGAGTGGGACAGGGCAGTGCTGTGCAGCAGTGACATCGGTCTGATCCATCACCTTGGTGTCATGACCCCTTTTTGGGAGCAGGGTGGGAGCAGGACAACCTTTGGGAGGGGTCTAGGGCAAATATGTGGGAATATGTCACCTTTTTTTTTGAAGATAGAGCAAATTTTGGGGTGTCTGAACAACTGGAATACCAATTAAAAAGAGAGCAGCTCTGTTTGTGGGGAGGTGGTGACCGTAGCCTGATCTCTGCCGTGTTTCTGATAGCCAGAGATAAATGTAACCTGAACTGCAAGCAGCTCTGTGGCTTTTCAGATTGAACTCAAGGCTTGAAATGGAGAGCAGGGGCTGTATCCTAGGGAGGCAGTTTGGAAAGCAGGTGGATATAAACCCTCTTTCTGCTTTTTTCCTGCAAGTATGAACGCCCTGGAGCGTCCCCGAAGAGAAACCACGACGGGGAGTGCATGGCTGTGCCAAGTAAGTGTCCTCTCCTGGTGCCTCTCTTGCCAGAGCAGCCTCTCCCCCATCCTCAGAGCTGGGAGGTGGCTCAGGGCAGCTCTCACCTCTGTCAGGCCAATCATTTGGGGGATTTAAGGTCGTTAATCCTCACAGCATTCACATCTCCCAGTCGCAAGGTGCTGCCAAGGAGCCTCCTCTGCAGTCTGGTGCCTTGTCAGCACTTCTGCTGGCACTGGAAATAACTTGTAATTATGGAGGGGGGGGGAAAGGGGAAAAAAAAAGCCTTTTTGAGACAATTTCTAGTTGTTCAAGACTTTTGTTTGTGCTTTTGGAAACCCTGCTGACAATAGTGAGTCTCTGCTGGTGAGGCCTCTGCTCTGCCTGGGGCTACCCAGGGTGCTGGGGCCTGTTAGACTCTTAACCCTCAGTGTTACCGTAGGAATAAAATGAAGGTCAGGTATTTTTAAGCCAGTTATTTCTGAACCAGCCCTTTTTTTAGCATATTGCTGGCTGTCAGACACCAGAGAACCCCTCTGATGGAGGAGGAGCAGGAGATTTGTGTCGAGGAGATGGGCACAGTTCAAAGAGGCAACAAAGGGGCAGCAAAACCTTCCTCTGGTGCCCTCTGCGTGTGCAGCTCCTTCACAGGACCATGAGGGGGGTGTCAACATTTGGCCCAACACTCAAGGAGCCCCTTTTTTAAACAGCTGAGAGCTCTTGGTGTCCATCTCTTGCAGCAGCTCGCCAAGTTGAGATCCTGGAGCTGGAGGATTTGGAGAAGGAGTGTGTGCTGGCACGGATCCGGCTGACTCTGGTGCAGCACGACCTGTCCACAGCAGCCATGGCAGGTAGGAGCCACGTGGTGCCACTGCCTCTCACTCCCCCTGAGCTTTTTACTCATCATTATAACAATTTTGGTCATAGCTTGGAACTTGAGGAAACAGCAGTTTTGTTCTGACCTCAAGGCAAAGCCAGGAGGTGGCAGAGAATGTTCAGTTCACCTCCCTAGCTTGAAATCTTTCCAGCAGCTTTGGCAGGGAAGATGAGAAAAAGAAAATTGAGATTTTAAACCATTTTTTTTTGGCTTTGCCAAGCTGTAGTAACAGTCTGTGTGGGGCTTGGGTTGTGCTCGTGAGCTGAGACAAAAAAAGGTGTCTTTGGTGTGCTGGAAATGCAAGCTGCCAGGTGAACAAGAATTAGAAGGACCTAGAAAACAAAAGAAAACACTTAAATTATTGTCCTGGACAGTCCTGCTTCACGACACAGCATTGGCTTATCCAAGCTGCTCCTTGCTGGGGAGCAGGGAGCCACAATTCTCCCACCCTGGCTCTTTCAGTGTGTCCTGCCCCTCTATAATCTGAGTTCTGAAACATGTATGTGGGGCTTTTTTCCCCTTTTAAGTATCACAAGGTAAGTTCTCAGTGAATAAAGCCTTGAGCAGCTGCTTTGAGGGCAAACTGGAGGTGTGGGGAGCCAAGGGGCCACCGTTTCACATCCCCTCCTGCCAGCACTGTCCTGGGCACAGCCCCCAGCCTGTCCCCTCCCTGCTCACCCCCCAGCAGCTGGCCACAGGCCCTCCATTGCTGCTCGTGTCCCTCTCCAGTCCATGCCCAGTCGGGGACAGCTCCATGGGCCAGGGCTGCCCTGTGCAGTCCCCCCAGGGACAGCTCCGGGCTCAGGAGACGCTCCCGAGGGCAAGAAATCCTCAGGCTGTGTGGCAAGAGGTGCTGCTGCAGGGTGTCCTGCCCCGGGCTGTTACTCTGCTGCTGAATTGCACAGGTTAAGCCCCAGTAAGCACTGGGGTGTGACTGGGCAAGGTGCTTCCCTGAGCCTCCTTCCCTGCAGGCAGCTCCACGCCCCAGGAGACGGTGGCTCTCCTGATCCGCGCCGGGCTCTTCGACACAGCCATCACCCTCTGCCAGACCTTCAAGCTGCCCCTGACCCCAGTCTTTGAGGGACTCACTTTTAAGTACGTGCTGAGGTTCTGCTGCTGGCCCTGGGGGACGTGCAGGGGGCTGGAAGGGTGTGAGCTGGGTGGTGCTGCTCGGCAGGGCGGCTCCTGCCCTGCACGGCCTGGGCAGCTGCTGGCTCAGGGGGGTTCAGGGGGAGCTGGATCTTCACAGCTGGAAAGAAAACCAAGGGGTGAGTAGGTGGTGGAGGGAGGGGGGAAGTTTCTCCCTGGCACCTGACAGTCATAAATAAGAATTGTTTGGGTTAGAAAAGACCCTTAAGCTCCTTGAGTGCAACTGTTCCCCCAGCACTGCCAGGTGCCCACAGCCCCATGTCCCTCAGCACCATGTCTTCATGGCTTGGAAACCCCCCCAGGGGTGGGGCCTCCACCACTGCCCTGGGCAGCCTGGCACAGCCCTGGGCAACCCTCCAGGGCAAGAAATTGTTCCTCAGGGACA